TCTGAGCATCTTCATGGCCCTCTTCCTGTGGGATAATAAATTCTTGACTTGCACTCTTTACTCCCCACAACTGAAAAATCTGCTTCTGTCTCCAAAACTACAAGCAGATCTCTCCTTAATCACTTCCTGAATTTTCAGAAAGTAGAATGCCATTATTTTCCTAGATTGAGATTTTAATGGAAACACAATTAGTGATTATCACTGTGTGATATGACACGACAGGGAATTTTCGAGATACGCCTCCCTGCTTCAATAAACCACAGCCACAGTGTAAAACGACAAGATGAAATACAGCAACTTGGAAGCTCTCAGTTGTACCTGCTTACGGTACGGTGTAATCACTCCGATATCAGTCACTGACACTGCCGTGTTCTCATTTTTAGCGAGGTGGGAACAGTACTGCATTACTTGAACTGCTTCAGTTGGATTGAACCACGAAGGACTGTGGCCTTCACGTGTTTCACTGCCCTGTATTGGGGGAAACGAAGTGAGATCATTGATGAAGACCAGATGCAGAAGTGACTATACATTTATTAACAGATTATTCTTAGACATCCTAAATGCAGAGAAGAGTGATGTTGTATACAAGTTCTCATCTTTGCTCTATACCCTTTCCAATGAACAAGTATTGCTTAACTTTAAAAAAATTTTTTTTTTTTTGAGCTGGAGAATTCCCAAGACAACAGTACTTTAAGTCTGCAACAAAGGAGTTAAATCTCAACTCAGAGTAACACGTGTTAGTGAGCTGGTATCTTGCTTTTGTGCAAGGTAGAGGTATTCAAAACAAAGCCCCTCCAAGCGGTGGATATGATCACTTTTCCTAACTTCTTGGAATACTAAAAGACAAATGTTTCCCCGAAGTACTATTTTTTCCCCTGCCTACTTAAACCTTAGTAATCCTCTGGGATGAATACAATCCTCAAACTAATGTAGCAAACTCTCATCAAAAGCAGTCTAAAGGCAGCTGACCATAGCTCCATCCTGGTCAATCTGCTACGAGTTTATCAGTGTCTCCACAACATACTTCAGTGGGCAGCTGCTCAAGTTAGAATTATAGAATCACGGAATGGTTTGGGCTGGAAGGGACCTTAAAGATCATCTAGTTCCAACCCCCCTGCCATGGGCAGGGACACCTTCCACTAGACCAGGTTGCTCAAAGCCTCATCCAGCCTGGCCTTGAACACTTCCAGGGATGGGGCATCGACAGCTTCTCTGGGCAACCTGTCCCAGTGCCTCACCACCCTCTCCGGGAAGAACTTCTTCCTGATACCCAATCTAAACCTCCCCACTTTCAATTTAAACCCATTACCCCTTGTCCTGTCACTACAGGCCCATGTAAAAAGCACCCCCAGCTTCCTTGTAGCCCCTTCAGGTACTGGAAGGTGCCATAAGGTCTCCCCAGAGCCTTCTCTTCTCCAGGCTGAACAAGCCCCACTCTCTCAGCCTGTCCCCATAGTAGAGCTGCGCTGCTCCAGCCCTTTAAGCATCTTTGTGGCCTCCTCTGGACTCACTCCAACTGGTCAATATCCTTCTGATGTTGAGGGCTCCACAGCTGGACGCAGCACTCCAGGTGGGGTCTCACAAGAGCAGAGTACAGGGGCAGAATCACCTCCCTCGACCTGCTGGCCACACTTCTCCTGACACAGCCCAGGATACGGTTGGCTTTCTGGGCTGCCAGCGCACACTGCCGGCTCATGTTCAGCTTTTCACCTACCAGTACCCCCAAGTTCTTAGCAAACAACTGACTTGAGTGGTTGTTTCCAAACTCAGATAATCAGGAAGTCACGTTACTTGAAAAAGGAAGTTTCTTCCTTTTTCATATGCTTTCTAGAATTCATTCTAATGAAAACTCACCTACAACATTAGCAAACTTCTACCAGGCCTTCTTATCCATACTTCCACTACATGTACATTTTACATACCCTTATTCCATGAAAAATTAAGGGAAATCCCTTCCTGGGCAATTTTCTCCAATGCAACAAAGAAGTTACAACTGAAGTGTCTGCGCAACATTCTAGCTCCTTATGATAAAACAATTTCGATGGCAAGGCAAGCAACGCAGAGTGTGACCTGTAGTTCTTCACGAGTTTTGTGATCTGCAAAAACAAAACATAAAATCTGTAACTGAAACAGCTCATTAGTCTTCAGACTTCACAGTACACAGCTCCCAGGCAAATACTACCGTACCATCCTCCAGCATTTAGCTTTCCTAAAGGTGCCAAAGAACTGTACCAAAGGCAAAAACTGCAGGTGTGATCTTTTGTAAGTAAAAACTAAATAAAAGCAGTTTTTTTAAGGACCTCCAAAGGAGAGGAAAAAAAAAGAGACAGAAAAGAGAATTGAATGTATATAACAGAGGAATTGGTCATTCTCTGGTTTCTTAAAACATTTGATCTATAGGCACATTCTCTTTTTTAAAGGCAGTCAGACTCTTTTTCATGGAGTTTCCATGGATGTAACCTGTTTTTTGAAGAAGTCTTGACAGGCAGAAAGGCAGCATCAAAGTAGCTGACAGAAGCTGGCCTTAGAAACCCGAAATGTATTTGCCTTTCAATGAAAAGAATGGCCTTACGAAGTACAATAACCAGCTTAGGAAAAAATGTCCTGTAAGAAGACTAATATATGACACCCGAGTCCTCTGGTAACCCTAAAGCCCTCAAACGTCCTGCTCTCTCACGATGCTCATTCTTCTTAAGCACTGTATAAGGAATAAAACAACTAAAGTTTACTGTAACAGATTGTTAGGAGGAAGAGTGACAAGTTTTTAGTAGGCTGAACTCAACCTAAAGCCTAGGGCCAAACACTCCCACTTTCCTCCTTAAGTCTGCCATCTGATTTCCCCCACCCCTCTTACATGGACACATCTAGACATACTTTGCTCTCAGCTTAATTCTTCAGAGTATATTACCATGAGAATGGGAAGGCATCTTGGCAAGTTTAACTTTGGCCCTATATCTCAGATTCAGACAGTAATTTAAAGCAGCTGAAACATCTATCCTTTTTTTGCACTCTGTCACTTAGCACAGACTTCAGGTACTTCACCATACACAGGAGCTTTGGGAAGCTGTCCTTCAGAGGAAAGTTTGATAAAGAAACAGGAACAGCTTCTTTTTTCCATTCCTGAAACATGATGTTTGCAAAAATAATCTTTATGTTTAAAGAGGAGGCTTTATTCACCTCTTTATGCTAAAAGCACAAGTTGTACTCGTCCATTTGTGGAAAATTAAAGTTATAAAGTTAAGGTAAATGTGGACAATGAAGATGGAAGGGAATTTTAATGCATTATTTAGAATTTGGCTTTGTGCATTATATCTGATTTATTCTACTTAAGAATAGAGAACCCCTTCAAAGAAGGGTTTTAATATGTTGGAGGGCTCAGCATCCTTGCTATTCAGAGTATATTTTCAAAATAGCCAAGCTTTCCTAGAGAACTAATGCTCCAACTAGACTTCTCACTAAGCAACAGGGAGCAAAAAGGTGGTTAGGAAACAGCAGGAACTACAGTTACTCCATTTTTGATTTAGAAGAAAAAAAAAATAGTTAAAATTGTAGTTTTACTCACCAACAAAGGATTATATGCTCCACAGGCACTAAAAGCATCCTCATCCCTCAGATATATCTCTCTTGATGTCAGTCTTTCCAGCAGGGATACATTCAATCCAAAATTCAGTGCAATTTTAGATTTTATTACTGGCCCTAACTGCTTTGGATCTCCAACAAGAACTATCTGTATATGCAATTAAAAAAAAAAAAAATCATCTTGTATGAAAACAGTTATGACAAAAAAATGCAGTTTCAATTACAACATACACACTTCAGAATTCCAAGGTCAGTTTATATCAAGCATTCTGTTTTTCTCCAAACATCTGTTTGTGAAGAAGGGTTAGGGCCCAGGCAGACGTACAGACTGACACTGTCGTCTTAAACTAAGAAAGCGTATTTTTATGTTGACATCTTCCACACACTGGACCCTGTCCTACCAATGCAGACTTGTCTCAGATGTAACCCAACCCATCTGAGTGTGGGAAATGGATATTGTACACGAATAAGATTTATTACGAGTAGTCAGAATTGTGTACTCACTACCAGGAAATGGCTGCTCGCATTCCACATCATCACAAAAACACAACCAGCAAACCAAAACTCTTTTCCTTTCAGTAAGTGATGCTAAGAGAACTACCTGTCCTTTAGCTTCTGAAATCAACCCAAGAGGAATCAGGCTCTCTGGTTCACTTGCTTGTCCTGCCTCATCCAGAATCACATGAGTGAAGTGTCCAAGCCTAGAATTCAACAACATGAACCCAAAACGGGGCTGTTTTCAGATTAGTTCACTCTGCCACCCTGTGGTTGACCTCAGCAATTCTGTTAAGCGTGCTAGGCAACTCCATGCACGCAGTGCTAAGATGGGTATTTTCAACACAGAAGGTAGAAAAACAACCCGGTAACTTTAGTTTCTCATTGTTGATTTTGCTTGCATACTCCAGTATACACCAACTGCCGGCTGTCTTGATTAAAGCATCGTGTATGCCCAGGTTAAGACACTCAGGAAAAGCTTTTTCGTGCTCTCCATTTCCTTCTGCTATTTAACAAGGACAGTGCACTTGGCACAGTGAAGAATCCCCAGGCTTTTTCCTACCAAACAACTCAAGCCAGTTAGGCTTCAGAGTGTCCTTTTATAACATTAAAGTCGCAATCAGAGGAATCTTTAGCTAACAGCAGTTGACATGGTGATTGTTTACAATTAGTAAAGGTGACTTGATCAAAACCAATTCAGTGTGACAATCATTGACAATATCATCAATGGCAATATCACGTCCAAGGCTCCCACTGGCAGTGGAGAAGTTACTTTATCAAAAATTTTTAACATTAGTCAAGGTAATTAAGTTCACCATGGAGAAAGTCTCTGCTGAAACGTTACTAAACCCAAGTGGTTTATTAGGAAGACAATTTCAAGATAGAGGCACATGCCATAAACTGTATTAAAACAGCTCAAGTTACAGTACAAAGGGTATCTAAAAGCTCTGGGGTTTGCAGCATCCCGCTGTCTCAGTGATATTCCTGTCTGTAGTACTCTACCGTATTGCTGTTTGATAAAACAGCCCTGCACTGCTGCATGTGGTGATTATTATCCTGAACCATGATGCTTTCCGAACATCATCACCATCTTGGCAGTAAGGTTTCACCATCTCATCAACATGCTGCAAAAACAAAAAGGTATTTTGTAAAACAAAACACCACTCAAACTGTTTACATTTGAAATAAAAAAAGTCCCCTGAAAACTATTTTAGAAGCTGAGAAAACACTTAGATTTAGACCCACTCATTCACCAAAATGAATCCTTCATTGGTTTGCCTAAACAAAGCAGATCATATGCAAGACAGCTGTTTTCTCTGTATTGTAAGGATCAAAAGTGAGCACACGGATGTTTCATATCTACATATATTCCTATACATACTTATGTACAAAATGCACACAGAAAGTAAATGTACTGTATAAAGATGACGTCCTACTTGCTTGCTTTCCTGTGTAAGTAGTCCTAATTTGGAGACAAAAGCTTGACTTCAGTAAGAGATTTTAGGCTTGCTTTGTAAGTCAGTGTCTCGACACATTAAAAAATCCCACTGATACATATGAGCTGCTTGTGGAGCTAACCTCCTTCCTGCAGTGCTTAAGATTCTACACTCATACATCCAAATTAAAGGCTATGATCAGCATTTCCAGTTTATCTTCTGGAAAAGCTGGAGTAGTATGTTCATACTTTGGGTCCTAAACAAGCCTAACCAGCCTAAAACCCACTGACAGTCACATTACTAAATCAGTATCTTAAGATCTAAATATAAAAATGGAAATATTAACTGGCAGATCTCTCATATTTACCTCTATTGACCTGATGCTAGCATTAACTCGGACCATAGCTCCTGGTTTTAACAGGCTGCTTTGATGCAGGCGCAAGCAAATCAGATCTGTCGCAGCATTCGATGGTGCACAAACCAAAATACGACTGTCTGGTAGAGTATAATGAATCTACATTAAAGCAGATGGACATAAAAAAAAAAAAAGAGGTTATTTAGAAAAGTAGCAATAACTCAAAACATTCCCATTTTATTTCACTAAGCACAGAATTCACAAGAGTTTTGCATACAGGTTATACGCATCCATCCCTTCAGTTGAAGAACACTAGTCTTGACAGTCACGACTAAGTACTCTGAGTTCACCAACAGCAATTAACTCATGGTTATCATACTAGCGGATACCCCTGCTTCATGAATATATTATGCACTACTGGAAACACAAGTTAGATACTGTTCACTAAAGCTCTAAAGACAAGAAGACTTGAAAATAAGCCATGCAGGAACTCTGTAAAATCACTATCAGTATCCTTCTGCTTTCACAAAGCTATAGAAAATGATCTTAAGAAGAGCATTTTGAAAACTCCTTGGGAAAAAAAGATGACTACTTACCGAATTGCTTTAAATGTTCCAACACTGAAAAGACTAGAGACAACTGATTTGTCATCCACCATTACCTGTAAAATAGCTTCAACTACTGTTAATGTTTTTCCCGTTCCTGGTGGTCCAAAGAGAACATAAGGTGTTGGACGACATTCACCACTCAGTATCCTTGTCACTGCCAGTTTCTGTTGCTCATTCAGCATGGGATTGAAAAATTCACCAGCTCTCTGCTTAAATGTCACAGTTTCACCAGCTATAATCGAGATAAGCATATACTAAAACTCCACATGATGTACATTAAAGCAATTCCAATTCACATTAGGCTTCAAAAAAGTTTCATTTTCCTTATGCAGGAACGACTAATGAATTTCTCACAAATTCTGATTTCTTAGAATTGCAGGTAGAAAATAAGTCATTAATATTTCAGAAGTATATTGAATTTTTAGTAAAACTGAAGGCCAGAAAAGGCCTATGATTACATAACCCAACAATCTGTAAAAACTCAATTCACTGAATTTAGCATTAAGCTCACTTTTTGTCCTAGGCTAGCAAAAGTTTAGTAACATTCAGTAAATGGTACTTCAGGTATAGTACCAGCACTAGATGACTATTATTAAGTCATGACTATTGAAATTTTTTTCTTAATCCTGCCTGAATTAGTCTAGCATTAGCTTTTCACAGCAGAATCTTACTAACCCTCGGACAGAAGTGCATTCTAGATAATCCATTCTGTATTTCCTTAGGCATCCTATTGCTAAAAGTGATAAAATCACCCTATTTGGCAATTAAATACACTGATATTTAAAGTCATGCTTTCCAGAAAAGCATAGAAATTATCTGGGCTCTCCAATTCTGAAGTTTTAGCACCTTTGGAAAACAGCTATCCCAAGGAGAAGACACAGCATTCCAGTAAATTTGAAAACTTCAAACATGACCAAAAATTTTCAAATTAATAACTGGAAAATGATTATTGAGTACAAAATATTATCACTGAACATTTGCTGTCCCATCCCTGGCCGTGTTCAAGGCCAGGCTGGATGAGGCTTTGAGCAACCTGGTCTAGTGGAAGGTGTCCCTGCCCATGGCAGGGGGGTTGGAACTGGATGGTCTTTAAGATCCCTTCCAACCCAAACCATTCTGTGATTCTATGAACTGGAGATGTTTAAGTAATCCACAGAAAGACTCCAATGAAACTCCCTGCTAGCACTGCTATAGAATTTGCCTTTAGAAGACAGAGCATGAGAACATTGAAAAGGAATCGTACTGAGCCCTGGTTTACTGACATGACTGCAATCCTGAACTGACTGTACTTGACTACGAAGTGTTGAAGCATACCAAGTTGGCTTGTTTGCACAGCTACTCTCTTCGAACCTGTGACGTTCGCCTGCCTTGATGCCATGCATTTTGCCTGTTTGTTCTGCATTTTTTTGACCTGAAATAGTAGGCGAAAATAAATGCATTTATAACCTTGTAATGACAGGCAACTAACACTTTTGAATTTGCTAGGTTTTAATTTCTCCCATTAAATAGCATTATTCCATTAAAAAGAATATTTACTGTGAAAACAGAAAGATTCAGTAATAGGAGAAGATACCATGAATTCCCACCTTAAATTTAAGGTTTCTAAATGTTTAATGTTAGCATAAGACAAACTTTTACTTCACAAATACTTCTTTGAAGCCATGGCTGAATACTTTGTTTCCTTCCACAAAAGCTAACATTCACACTCTGTGTCACTAAGCAAGATGCTGCCTCCTTCCCTACAAGCAGTTTACTCCCATGTTGCAATCTGAATGTGGTGTTTGCAGGGTTCTGAACCAGACGCCTCAATCTTAGTAATACTGATCTTAATCCAGTGGTGAGTGTTAGAGTGTGATTACTCCTCCTTGTACAGGCCAGGGGTACCATCAGGAAATGTTTGCTGAGCCATGGTGTCACGGAAAGACTGCAAGGCTCACCTAGTCCTTCCGACCACTCTCTTTGCTGCTTATCCACGTGGGTACTAGTGGCAACTCAAATAGATTAAGGGGAAGATCCTATAGCTCTGGGGCAAGCATGAGGGGTCCAAGTCATGTTCTCCACCATCCCTGTCAAACAGAAATGCCCCAGCAGAAGCAGGTATCCTGCAGAACAGCCAGCTGTGCTGCCGCTCTCACCAGCACGGCTCTGGGTCTATGTGCAGGAGCCCCTTGACTGTACGTTGTTAATGGCAAACACCGGAGACGTGTCTGAATTGTTACCAGATGAGGATGGAACAGCACCAAAAGTGTCTGGTGGTCTATAACAAATCCCTGCCAGAAGGAAGACAACATGGGTAAGTTCTAACAGTTGGCATCAGTGTCCTGATGACAGGCTGTACATCTTCCTGGAGGTTTCAATTGTTCACACCCCTGTTGCAATTCACCTAGGAAACGTGCAGAATTTCTAGACTGAGCTGGTGACGCTTCCCTAACGTAAATGGCTGACATCCTGACCAGAAATAACACTCCGCTAGACTTGCTGCTCACACACAGGAAAAAGGCTGTGTCCATATACCAGCTTTTGTTGCAGAGATTGCGAGATGGGAGGAAGGCTAAGAAGGTAAAGCAGCGGAGTCAGAACTCTGGCCCATCTCGAGCAAGCCTCAGTTTCAGTAAGAGATCACCTGGCAAAATCCTCTGGGAAGTACCAGGTGGGGAAAAAGGTGCCCAGGAGAGCTAGAAGTTGCTTATTGAGCAGTCATAACAAATTTCAGGAATTTCAATAGAAGGCCTGCTTAGCTAATCTTGTAGTTTCTTGATGAATTTATAAAAGGCTTATTACAATCAGAAACAAGGCCAGGCAGAGACACTGCTTGGCCAGTTGGACAAAAATCAGGAAGGTTGGAGAGATCAAAGCACAGCTGAAGTTAGACTGTGGCAAGGACAGAGTAATGAGAAGGGATTTAGCAGATGTGGTGGCTGGATACAGTTCAAGGATCATGGAGGCTCATGGATAGATAAGAGATAGCAGTTCATTGATGGATAATATGGGAAAGAACTCTGTGTCCTTTCTGCCTCACACACACGTCTCCAGACTCCTGTGCAAAGTAACAGTATGGGAAGGAAAGGAACAAGTAACAGAAGGGGAGAACCATGCTACAAACTGCTTAGAGATGCTGGATAGGGTAGGTGTGATTCATCACTCCGATATGACTGTGGACATTGCCGCCGATTAGCTACAAGAAAAAATAATCATGACAAGCCAGGGAATGTCTCTGACAGCAGGAAGGAGCTAATATTGCTCCAGTTTAAGAGCAAGAAGGAAGACCTGGGGAACTATAACTTGCCAGCCTCACTCGTCTGAGAATATCATGGAGCACATCTCCCTGGATTCCACGTGCTTCACATGATTGGAAAAAAGGGTGACCAGGAATAGTCAACATGGTTAAACCAAGGGGCAGACTGTTCAGGACCAACCTGATTTTCCTCTACGAAGAGACTACTATGCGGACAGACTATGACGTAGACAAAAGAAAAGCAGTCATATACATATAATATAATTTCACTATACTAATTTCATTATTACTCATTTCATTTCACTGTATTAATTATATTTCATATAATTTCACTAGTAGTTAAGGAGTATGGGTAAATATACTCAGAACAGGATGATTACCTTCTATCATAAACTTATTTCCTGCCTGTGCTGGTTTTGGCTGGGATAGAGTTAATTTGCTTCACAGTAGCTAGTACAGGGCACTGTTTGGTATCTGTGCTGAAAACAGCACTGATAACAGGGATGTTTTCATTACTGCTGAGTAGTGCTGACAGACTCAAGGCCTTTTCTGCTCCCCACCCCACCAGCGAGTAGGCTGGGGGTACACAAGGAGTTGGGAGGGGATGCAGCCAGGACAGCTGACCCCAACTGACCAACGGGATATTCCATAGCATAAGAATTCATGCTCAGCATCTAAAGCTGGGAAAAAAGGAAAGGGGGGAATGTTGAGGGTTATGGCATTTGTCTTCCCAAGTAACTATTAGACGTGACAGAGCCCTGCTTTCCTGGGGATGGCTAAACACCTACTTGTTGATGAGAAGTGGTGAATGTAAGGAGTATGGGTAAATATACTCAGAACAGGATGATTACCTTCTATCATAAACTTATTTCCTGCCTGTGCTGGTTTTGGCTGGGATAGAGTTAATTTGCTTCACAGTAGCTAGTACAGGGCACTGTTTGGTATCTGTGCTGAAAACAGCACTGATAACAGGGATGTTTTCATTACTGCTGAGTAGTGCTGACAGACTCAAGGCCTTTTCTGCTCCCCACCCCACCAGCGAGTAGGCTGGGGGTACACAAGGAGTTGGGAGGGGATGCAGCCAGGACAGCTGACCCCAACTGACCAACGGGATATTCCATAGCATAAGAATTCATGCTCAGCATCTAAAGCTGGGAAAAAAGGAAAGGGGGGAATGTTGAGGGTTATGGCATTTGTCTTCCCAAGTAACTATTAGACGTGACAGAGCCCTGCTTTCCTGAGGATGGCTAAACACCTACTTGTTGATGAGAAGTGGTGAATGAATTCCTTGTTTCGCTTTGCTTGCATATATGGCTTCTGCTTTACCCATTAAAGTGCCTGTATCTCCACCCAAGTTTTTTCACTCCTACTGCTCTGATTCTCTCCCCATCCTGCCATGGGGGGAGTGAGCAAGTGGCTGTGTGGTGCTCAGTTGCCAGCTGGGGTTAAAACACGACACTACCACAGTGACAGGACTTAAGTATCTACTCAGCAGTAGCTATGAAGACTAGTCTAAGGAAAATCTGACAATGCCAATTATACTAATATCTTTTTTTTTTTTTAATAATCACTTTCCATTTGAGATGGGAGTGTTACAGCATCAGTTTTCATAAAATCCCCTGTCCCCAGGCAGCAAACAAACTTCTGTCATCAGAAAGCAGCAGAATATAACTCTGATTCTCCATTACACAATTCCTTTCTAACAACAGCTGTACAATAGGTATTTGTTACCAATCTGAATGGTATTCAGCATTTTAAGGAACATTTAAGGAATAGATACCTTACTTTCCTGCTGGGAACATTGTTCAAGGCCATCATCAACAACACAATACTCAGTAGTATTCTGGTTCTTGATTACTTGTGGTGATTGTAAGACAAGCCTTTCCGGGAATAACACTTCAAATTTAGAGGAGAAAGAAAGTAGAGAAATTTGAAAGCCCCATGAACACTTTGCACGTTTCACTGATTCACTCTGCTGACACATCAGATTGCTTTTGCGTTGTTTTTAGCAACTCAGAGCAGTAAAGACCTGTGTGAAGTTCATATGGATCGTTCTACTCAACCATAATACAGGAAAGCAGTGCTTTGTAATAAATTCTGAGGTAACACAAAACATTGCCATTTAACTTGTTTTCATTATGATGCGATTTCTACAGTTCTTATCAGCTCAGACAGTTAAAAAAAAAAAAAGTTTGTTTCCACTCCTCTTCCCTGTGATGGCCAACAGAGGAAATCATTCTGACATCACAGACACCTACTCTACATCCAGAGTGGTTGTTAAATAAATACAGAGAAGTTGTATAAGAAGAAACTACAATGCATTCTTCTCAGATTGCCCTGGTGTGAAAGCAACGTAAAGCACAAGACTCCTCACAAACAAACTCCTCTGGACAGCTTAAGTCAACTGAAGCATACCTTTTTCACCCAGGTAGATGGCTTGCTCAACTGCCAAATGGCATCGCCTGCTTGTAACCCTGTTATCAGAATAAAAACGTGTAGATTAACATTACCATAAACTACAACAGCATACACTTACAAGGCATCCTGTATTTTTTACTATGCACCAGTGTGTATAAAAATAGGAGTTTTACCTAAAACCACTTTTTTTTTTTAAAGAATCAACTATTGAGTAAAATGCCGCAGAAGTGTAAATCAACAGCTGTGCTGTGAACAACATTGATACATATACTCTCTAGCTTTTCAGCGAGACAAAGATGGCCTGGTGTTCCAGACTCTGATAGTCTTTCAAGGAAGTTCTCTGCAAAGCTGATTTTACAAAGATTAAACAACTTTGCACAGATAATAAAGACAAAAAGTATAAAAGGATGGTTGGTTAACATCAGCAATTTTAATTTTTCACCCCACAGTCTTGCCGCCGTATTGCTATATCTTTTTTTCTTAAGAAATTATAAAAAAACCGCCCCCAAAACACACACCCTGCCTCACACCTCCTCCCCGCAATTTCACTGCCTGGCATTGATGCAATCATTTTGAGAGGCTTAAGACAAGAATTCTTTGCACATTCTGACTACAGTTGCAGTGTTGTACCAACGAACGCAGTGGCAAA